TAATTCCAACACTTTGGCAAAAATACCAAAATTCTCTAAACACTCTTTCTCTCTAAATTCTAACTTTGGCATCGGAGGTTCTTCGGCCAAAGCCCCCCCCATTCATCGTGGGCGCGTGAGGCTCTTGGCCTTAACCTAAGGTGTTAATTGTTTTGTAGGTGCAAAATTGTCCAAGATCAAGGAGGAAGAAATTTGCATCCACACTATATATGGGGTTTTGCTTGCAAATAGTTGAAAAACGATCACGCGCTAGCTTTTGGGAGTACAGACTACAATGTAAATAAATAAACAAGTATCATGATTTCAGTGACTTATGCAGTGTAGCAGATGTGAATTCTATGACCAATTTGCGAAAACTTCCAACGTATGTTCATGAAAAAAAATGCACAATTTGCATTTCTTAATAATATACAAAGTATGACGTAAATGTTATTTCTAAACTTTCTAAGCAATTTTGTTACTTATTTTAATTAGGACCCTTATTTTATATTACCGTTTTCAATGATTATTTTGAACAACAATATACAAACCACGATATCTATCTTAAAGGATTCTTATTTCACTTTCTTCACACAAAATTACCAAAATTTTAGATGTAAATATCATGTGAATGAAACAAAAACAATTATTGCAGACACAAAAGCTAATCCAAAACTTAATTGCTAAAAAAGATGTAATGTTAATCTTGCACACAATTTTTCGCTAAAGTGATGGCTACACACAAAAATAAAACAAAAAAATGACACCATAATAATCAGCAAGCAAAAAAATGTGGAATGGTTAGTGTGCAATTCATAAATTTCGTTTTTTTGTACAATGGGTGGGTGCAAAAAGACTAAGTTAGATTATTGAAAATAATAAGAAATTATTGTGATGGACACACACCCACAATTTATAAAATAATCACTTAAGAAATATAAAAATATCTAAAACAACACATCTTTGGGACGCGTAGCGCCTGTGATGTAAAAATGAATTAATGACTTGAAACCACCCACTAACGTGGGAGGTTTTGTTTTTGTTTTTGTTTTTTCTATAATTTTAAATATTAAATTCATTCAAAATAAAAATATGGTTAAATACTTCATCTTCTTTTGGTTCAATTGTAATTTATGAAATTCTTAAAAGACAATTTATGGTATTTTGAATGTTTCACCATTTTAGGGTGCTCACTTTATATATATATAAGATAAGGGGGGAAGGCAGTGACATTTTCATAAATAAGTTGAACTTTCGTGACACTTACTGTTTATACACGATTAGATCAACTTCAACTAGTTTATTCATGATTTGGTGGCTTATGTGTAAATAGTTTATTTGTGGACTACGAGTCGATGCCAATTTATTTTTCTGCTCTAAGTGTAAATATTTCTTTGTAAAAATAAAAAATAAAAACCCTAAAAAAAACCCTAATTACAATGAGCCCCTAGGGCAACAACCTATGGCTACATATATGATAAATCCAAGCATTCTTTTCGTAGGCGTTTACGGCCTCCAAGTACAAAAAGTCTTTTCATAGTGGTTGAATGTCTCTCATATGTTGATTTTCTTCGCTTATGACTAAATGGTGTGATCTATCAACGGATATTTTACACATAGTAGCTGAACGTCTCTCGTATGTTGATTTTGTTCGCTTTGGTGCGGTATGCAAAAGTTGGCAAGCTGTTAAGGATGGGGTTCAACAACGCACAGTTCACCCACCCTTAACTTCTTACTACTGCTGTAGCCAAAATAATGGTGAAACCTTGACCGTAGCTCGCCTCTTTGGTTTGTCGGCTAAGGAAAGGTTCTCGATTACAAACGTGATACATTCGAGCCTTCCGGATAAGTTTACGCATCTTTGTGCTTGGAAATATGGCTGGTTGTTACTTGCAAAGTTCGAGCCGAAAGCTACAACATTCCTTTTCTATAGTCCTTTTCGCAACGAGCTTATAGAGCTTACCTCCATTAGCTTTCCACATGAGAAGAGGTACTTTGGAAGCGACCTTCACTACGGCTCCAACCTGTCTTGATTGTGTTATTTTCGTGGCGAAAACTAATAAACCCAAGAGCAAAAATTTTAGAATAAGCACCTGTAACCTCAAAAGATTGAAGATGGAGTGTTTATAAATTCGAACATTCAAGATCAACCAAAGTTAGGGACGTGGCCTATGTGGATGGAATTTTTTGTTTTCTTTGTAAGGGTTATTCGGCGCCTGGTTATTGGTCGATGAACATGGACTCTTCTGCCTCCCGAAGAGTACGTTCTAAAAACAGTTCACAATATTTCCTGGTTGAGTTTGCTGGAAAGCTACCTTTGGCAGTAGATAATGAAGTTGGTGGCTATTTTGGATCTTGGAATATTTACCGGTTTGATTGGTCTCGAAAAGATTGGACTAGGGTTGAAAACTTGGGAAACAAGATACTGTTTTTGTTTCGCGCATCATGTACTGTAAGTCAAGTTGTGGGGGTAGCTAGTGATTTCAACGGTATGATATTTTGTTGGAGTAGGATTCTCCACCCTCCTATTCCCATCCCCTCCTCTCAGACATTATTTTTTGTTTTATTATCTCTATAAAAAAATCAATATAAAATGTTGATGTGGCTTAACCGTGACCGTTCAAATAAAAGGGGATGGAAGGGTGAAAGATTATGAGGATAGAGAATCCTACTCCTATTTTGTTGTGGCTACTATAGTCCCTTCTACGAGTTGAACAACCATATTGTTGAAGGTCAATGGTACCGTTACTAGTAAATGTGTCCCATTGTTTCCAAGAGGATCCTAGCTGTATCCTCTTTGTGAGGATTCTGGAATCCTGCAATCACATCCGTTTATTGTACATCGTATAATCAAAAATCATTGTAATTTTTTTTTTTAAATTGAATATAAACAGTACCTAACAAAAACTGACCGCATGATGTACGATGAAAGGATGTGATTGGAGGATCCGGCGAGGATCCTCTCTCACGTTGTTTGTGCTCCACCTTTTGCATTCAAGTTTGAATTTTCCTTCCCATAAATAAGATAAATTTGAAGTAATTGTCCTATCAGTTTTCTCGCTTGAGTGGTTGGTCCATGTCTTGCCCTTAATTTTATGTATGCTATCAAGTGATTGAATAGTACTCATTTGATTTTTTTCTTCTGGGGACATCAAAACATATAAAATATTCACTAATCAATTTTTCTGGAAATATATATGGGCACATTACATCGGTATTGTACTTAGAGTTGAGTAAAACAGGATCGTTTAGCTGAAAGAATTTAAGCACATAATAAGTGGATAACCCTAAACCCTTGTACGTATTTGTCAAATTATAATGCATTGAACCTTATTCACAAGATTAGGGTACAAGAAAATATATCCAAAATATTGGATGATATCTTTGAAAGAAAATTTCGAAAATGTAGGTCACTTGGCCATCATAGTCTATTTGCCGGCTCGATTAACTTTGAATCTTCTCCATAGAGTATATTTGCATATTATTTTCAAGAAAAGAAAAAAAACAATAAATATTCGCCTTATGTAGCTCTTCATTTAGTGGTCTCCTCCTAATTTTTGAAAATGTAGTGCTATTCATACATCATTTTTAATTATTTCTATTGATTTCTTCAATTCAGTCAATCCAACAATAAAAAATTAAAAGAGGTATATGAAAAGTAAAAATAGGTGTTTGGATGGCGACATCCTTTATGAAAACAATCCAAGTTAAAGTTTCTCTTTTTCATTTGATCAAAGCTAAAATGTGTGTGCAAATGGAAAGGGAAGATGAAGTAATAAAAGTGAAATGATTTTCACGAATCATCTTTTCTCTCTATACACTTCTCTCTCCTTTTTGGCAGTTAAATCAAATAAAGCCAAAAAAATTAAGGAACTTTAATGAAAAGCTTTCGGTATTATTCACTTTAACGAAAAACCATATTTTTACACTAAAAAGTCAATTACGGTACTATTCACTTTACCTTTTATTTTGTCTTTATCGTTAAAACTCAAAGTTTTCAAGCTATTTTCATTAGTTTTCCTAAAAATTAAAGGATAAAAATTAATGTGAAGAAAAAGAAAAATGGTTGGTGAAAATCATTTCTCAGACAAAATCCGCGTCCCATAATTAAAAAAATTCAAGGACTTGTGCCATAATGGAAGTCAATGGAACCAAATCTTCTCCGGATCCAAATAAACTGAGGCTCCTGAGCAAAGGATCTGAGCCGTTGAAATTTGATCTCACGGCTACAAACAGAGGGGGCCCTCTAAAAGTTATAATAATTGTAGTCGTTGGATCAAATTTCAACGGGCCAAGATCCTTTGATCTTTAGGCTCATTTTATTTGAGCCCGGAGGGGATCCGCTTCCGAAGTCAACCACCCTTGTGGTCGGAATAGGATCCCATCCGGATCCTATTTGTGGAGATTCAAATAATCAATCAATTATGTCCATTCATCGTACATCGTTCGGTTAGAAATTATTTTAAATTTTTTTATTTAAAATTAAATATAAACAGTACCTAACAAAAATTAATTGTACGATGTACGATAAACGATCGTGATTGATTGATCCTCCGGATCCCCACAAAGAGAATCCAGAGAGGATCCTCGTCCCTTGTGGTCATTCTCACCTGAGTTCGATACTCTCCTGCCCCTTTTCCCCTTCCCCCCCCCCCCCCTCAGAACTCACTAAGTATGACAAAAATATATATATATTTCAAAAATAACGAAAAACATAAAGTAACCAATGGTCTACTAATATGGTCATGTTGCCACTTAATATTACAATTTAGTAGCATTCTTATTTATATGTAAGTAAGACGTCTTACGTTCGATTCTCACCAAAAATGAATTTGAACCACATTACTACTAACCCACTGTAAATCTTATCACACTTCCCTATCCCTTAATGTAGATGATATCGTAATGCCAATAATTTGTTTGTGTAATCTTCTGGTACGGGCCCATGTGGGCTTAAGCATATATTGGGCTGTGTATAATTACCAAACTATCCCTTCTTCTGAGGATATCCTTCTGGTGGTCCGTAGCAAACGTGCAATTTGCACAAGGATATAGCTCAAGTTCTTGCCAACCCACTCTCTGTTTGCTCAAGACTGCCATTTTCTCAGCCAATTCTTGTGCAATGTCTCACCTGGAAAACTTTAATGGAGTCTCCGAAACACTGCCGGTCATTCCAAGGTTTCCGAGCGTACAAACAACCAGAAAGAAAGCGAGCATTATTTGCTTTATGAGCAAGAAAAGTGATGGTTTGCAGGAACAGCCACTACAAACTACAAGAAGACTTGCATTAGGCCTTGCCTCTATTGCACTTGTTGGCAACTCCTGCAACGGTGTCTCTCTTGCTGAGGGCAATGGGTTCTGGCTCGACGGCCCTCTGCCTGTGCCTTCTGCTGAAAACAGTAAATTAAATTTGGTACAGAGCAGTTTAGTGTTACAACATTTGCTGTATTGTCATTCACTCCAACCATGTGTTTTGATGCAGAAATTGCAAATGAGAAGACGGGAACGCGGTCTTTTCTGAAAAGGGGAATCTACATGGCAAATATTGGAACGAAAGGGAGGAAGTTCAGGCTTAAGAAATATGCTTTTGATCTTCTGGCAATGGCGGATTTGATTGCAAAAGATACATTAAACTATGTTCGAAGGTATCTGCGGTTAAAATCCACTTTCATGTACTTTGATTTCGATCGAGTAATCTCTGCAGCTCCAGTGGATGAGAAACAGCCCCTTACTGATCTTGCTAACAGATTATTTGACACGGTCGAAAAGGTAACGTTAAAATGAACACTTAATTCAGATTGTTTGCCGCTGGAGAAATGTTTAAATTCTTTTCCAATATGTCAACAGCTTGATGGTGCCGTGAAGCAGCGCGACCTGCTTCAGACAGAAACATACTATAAAGACACAACAGTTATTCTCCAAGAGGTCATGGATCGAATGGTGTGAATTCTTAAAATCTGTTCATCTGATGGAGCAAATTAGTCCAACTGCAAATTTATTTGTACCGATGTGTAAGTTCATACTATGTCAAACTGAATCTGCAAATGTAAATGCATAGAACTTGTACATGATGGTTGAGTTATGAGTTTTCGAGATTATGACTATGAACACGGACTCTGTTTTCCGCTTCTAGTCAGTTTTATGTCATCGACATACAACAAGCAATCAAGCATTACTACAGAACACTCAGAAGGAAAAATTACTGAGAAATGAAGCTCAATCAAATCACTAGTTGAATAGAGAATTTTCCGAGTGTACCGATACGCGCCCTATTTCTTCACTATACAGATAAGCCTACGTTAGAACCACTCTCAAATTTCGCTTCATGATACTACTGGAACATAATACAAACCACTGGTTACTTTAAATCAAAAAAGAAATCTTCGATCAAAGATCAACCATAGCTTATACGTGAATCTGGAGGCCGCATGTTGGTCTGACGTCGTGGAACCCCAATATCACAAGCATTTACCCGTGAAGCAAAGCGAAGCGAACAGAGTGATTCACCTGCTGAGGATGGATCGGGAGAAATGTTTACGAACATCAATGTCTTTGAGTCTCCTCCGAGACATGGCTGGTCGAAATTTCACAAGAGTTTTAGAATTTTACCTTTCAAGAAGATATGATGGGACGTTTTAAAAATAAACTTAAACAAGTAAACAACCTGAAGAAGATATGTAAGCTTTGAGTTCCTAAACGGTACGTGGTCCTCCTTCTTTGCCAAGGCAAATATTACGTCGCTTAAACATGAGAGACTTTTGTTGATGGCCTGATTTCAGGGGAAAAATGATTTCTGTAAACGAAAAATAAGAAACATATAAACAAAATAGACTACGAAGGTTTTCATAAAATACCTGAGTTTCTTTCAGTCGGTCCCCCGTTGACCCACTCTTGGAAAGTCGTTCACTCCCAGCAAGATCAATAAGATTCAGGACACCTTGTACTTGTTGTTCAGTGCTCTTAAGATGAGATGGTAAGTTCAGAAAAGTAAGCACAATAACAAAAATATAAAAAGATGAAGCCAAAAAATTATTTTTTGCATACAGAAGAGTATCTGCAGAGAAAATGGATGTTGCTTACCTCATTAACGCCAGATATTCGTAGTGTGAAAACAAAATGGCTTCTTGAAGATTGCTCGTTCATTTGAGTTTTGCCTACAGACCTGAAAGGAACAAAGTAGAAGATAAGTAAGCGCCTTTCTTCAATAGCAATTTTCATCCTTTAAACAAAATCAGCAATTCCATTTTTCATCGAGTTAGAGTTAGATCCCCACTGTTAAGCATTAGTACTGCTGGGGAAAGTTAAAAAGATACAGAAACATGCATTGGAAGACTAGTTATATGTTGTATTTAGACAACCACATTTCTCCGACAAAAAAACAGGAGTCGATAGTTAGATATAGAAACCTGCTATGTGCAGCCCGTTCTAAGAGATATGAGACCTCTTTAGCAGTGCGCACATCCACAATGGTAAGATCAGAGACATGAGTGTTCCCATTTGCATCATGTTTGATTGTATATTGCTTTCCACCAATACCATTTTCTCGCAACATATCTGAAGATGATCGATTGGGTGCTAACAGATCACGAATAGTTTCATTATATATTTCCAACATCGACACCTACACATATTTGTCAAACAAAAAAGAAAATTACATCTGAAATGAATATATTCATTTGATGCATTCACAGAACTAAACTAATTGTGTGTGTGTGATAGAGAGAGAGAGAGAGATTCCCCTCACCTGCATCTCATATTTCCAACCTTGTGGTTGAAGAGATTGTCTGGTTTTAAAAATTTGTTCTAATGAACGAGGAATCAATCCTTTTTGGTCTGGATCTCCTGGCTGCCCCATCATTGTATAGGTTTTCCCTGATCCTGTCTGACCATAGGCAAAAATGCAAACCTGAAACAAGAAGCCACTACCATCAGGCTAAGAGTGCACAATTCAAACGATGAAGGGATATATAAAAAACCAATAAAGTGAATGCAAAAGAATATGCATGTTACAAAATTCCTAACCAAATACAATATACACTCCTAATTCCGAAAGATGCAAAAGCACATACATGCAAGCTTATGCACCAGATACCTTCATATATTGCACTGCCAATACATCAGGTTATCAATTTGTAAAAAAGGAAACAAAAATGTGATAACATTCTAACAAATATACAGGATGCATCTATCTTCACATATTGAATGAAATTTTTTTTAACGATCATAGATGAAGCATATAGATTACATGCATACAAAGTTAAATGTTGCTACGAATTTAAAGCTTTCCTACCGAAACTAATAAGACAAAGTTGGAAAGGAATTGAGAAAACTAAACGATAAAGGCATTGCTTTGTATGAAATGAAAATGGTAGCTTAAACAAGATAACAAACTTTTAATCACCTTATAACCATCAAGAGCACTTTGTACAAGCTGTGAAATGTCTTCAAACACATCTTCTTGTGATATTTCAGGCATAAAAACTTTGTCAAATGTGAAAGAATGTTTTTGCCCTGATGACAAATACAGGCAATATGTGAGTTTGAATAACAGAGACTAGGACATCCTAAAAGAGAAAGCTATCTACCATTGCTTAACATACCAGGTTGCACTAAATCAATGCCCCGTCCAAGAGCATCCATTGATGTTGGATAAGAGATGACCTTCCCTTCAGTGCTTAAGTCTTCATCCGCCAACAAAGGTCGCACTCGACAGAATACACGGATGTTCCCTTTTAGTTCCTATAGAATGAGAGAATTTATAAGCTGAAAGCAAAGGTAAAGATAAAAAAGTTGAGGCAAAAGATTTACCAAGATAGTGTTGTGCAACTTTTTACGCAACATTTCTCCTTCAATAAGTTTGAATTCTGCATCTGCCAGGCGAGTCTGTAACTCACTAATAAGTTTCTTTTGCCCTTCATATTCAGTTCTTGTTTCCATTGTAGATAAGTCGGACATCTAGAAGAAAACATATCCATACTTAGCAAGTTCAATCAACATGATGAATAAGTGGTTCAACATTGCATTCCACAACAACAATGTTGATAACCCGTATTATTCTGAATCACAAAAGAACCAGATATTATCACCTGTACTTTCTCCTCTGCAATCATTAGTTGGTCCTTCAATGTCCTTATCTGGTCACTCTGAGACAGACATCTTACCTGAAGAATACCCCACCACTATAGTATGTTAACAAACGCTATCAGAAACAAAACGCACAGAACTACCAGAAAGAATTATATAAATGACCTCCAGTACGGTGTATTTTGATCTGAGGTCATCAAGCTCAAAACTAGATTTCTCGGTGGATTCTTTGTACGTTGTATATTCAGCTGTTAGGGTCTGCACTTGGAGTTTATGTCGATCCCGATCACCTCTCACTTGTTGCAACTCCATCCTAAGGGATGCAACTTCATTTACCAAAGCATCCCTCTGCTTTATAGCATCATCTTGAGTTTGCTGTATGTCATCCATCAAATGAAAGTTTGAAACAGTTCATTTTCAGAAACAAAAATTTGAAAGAAAACACGGGAAGGGGAAACCCAAACTTTAAATTTCATACTATTTGACCCACTTCCTACCCATCTAAAATGCACTGTAGACACAAAAGTCAGAACTACAGATCAAGGTATGAACATTTTCAAGAATATTTGATCATAATGTGAATCATACAACATACAACTAACACCACCCTATATAGAATTTTCAATAGATGCCTACTTAGGAGAACACGGAAGTCAGATTTGTAGATGTATAATAAGAGAAATTCCTTATGCAAATAGAAACAATTCAAGATAAGAAACTCACTCTGGACACTGAAAGCTGACCCCTTAACATGCTCAGGTTCTCCACCATACTAACTTTTTCCTTCTCTACGCGCTTAAAGTCTTCCTCAACTGTAGAGAGGTCGTTGTGCAGTTTACTGTTGTACTGCTGCAAGCTTGCAATGTATTCTTGCAATCGTTTGTACATATCATTCAGTGAAGTTATCTGCAGAGCTCCCAAAAGAACAATTTTCAGATTAAAGCATTTGTAAGGAAACTCCATACCAGTCAACATGGAAGCAAAAGAAGGAAGGGAATGCATATTCTACTTTACCTTCTGAGTAGCACTTGAAAGCTCTCTTTGAACTCTCGCGTGCTCATCTGAGAGGGAATTTTGTGATCGCTCAATTTCACGTCTAGCCTCTCTTTCCCTAGAGAGAGATTCCATTGCAGCCTGATAGACATATTTCAAACATTGAATAATCTACAGAAATTAATCAAACTCATCCACAATGAACATCAAACCCACCTACTTACCATCTTATCCAACTCTTCTTTCGTAAATTTCTCTTGTAAAGAAGCATAGTTTTTCCTGAGCTCCACAATAATTGAATTCAATTCTTCTTCCTTGTTTTCCAGTAAGATCCCTACAATCAAACAAACATAATTACTCTAGTAAACAACTTCATTGAGAATTCAAACACACAAAAGATGTTATTCATACCCATTTCATCGCGTTGCAGCTTTGACACTTGTACATCATTCTCTAACTTCTCGTGCTCTAATAAGTAGCTTTCCTCAAGCTCTTGGAACCACTTTATGCAAAGTTTCAGCCTTTTAACATACTCACTCAGTGTCTCACATTTTTCCTATATAATCAATTAACATAAAATTCCATAACGTTGAGAAATACCCAAAACCCATCTCAGGTAAACTAATCCAAATAAAATTCAAAAAATCATACATTCAAATTTCAGAGAGCAAACAAAATTAATAATAATAAATAAAATTAAGAAGTGAAAGCTCAGACCTTGAGACTGAATCTGTCCTTCCTTTTGGGTCTCTCATTCAATAATGCGTCAACATCCTCTCTGGTAAACTCAATACCACCGCTCTCAGAACCGGCATTACTCGCCGGAGCGCTGCTCGGACCCATGTCTTGGCCCCCGTTCACCACCGAGAACGCGTGCCGGACCCTCCAATTTTGCGCAGTGCCCACCATTTTCGCCACTTTTCAGACACCCACTTCAATACTTCATCTCACCAACCCAACACTTGCAAGAAAAAAAGCAACCATCCTCAAGAACAACCCAGAAAAGAACGGTGAAAACATAAGCAACCCAAAAGTGAAAAGTGATCCAAACGTTT